TAAAATTGTAGGTAGTTAGTCAAGTATGTAACAGTAACTGGCAAAAGCTGCCTTCGCTTCTGCGTATTGACTTTTAAAGAACACGTTTTCAACTAATTTACTAAACACGCAGTTTCCAAGCTACCAAAGATCAAAACGTCCACCAAAGTTTTTTTACTATCACTTAAGAGTTTGATCACTACAAGTGTTCCATTCACATTATATAAAAGTAGAAAAAAATAACACTTATTGGGCAGTTTTATTTGAAGAACCACAGAACTAGTTTGAAGCAATAACAACAAATTTGAATATTCTTTATTTATTTATTTTTTGAATAGAAATGAGACCATAAGAAATAATTGAAAGTTTGCTATCTTCCAGAGCTTGCAGTTATGATAAACTCGTAAGATTAACTTACAAGAAACTTCTGCACTGAGATTCTGCTCGGATAAAAGAGTGACCAGATCACCATCTGTTTCAGAAAAGAAACGAGAGGTTCCTGAACTTTTAACAGCCGAACATTACAGTTCTCGCACAGGAAGTGTAAAAATAATGTAATGGAAAACTATTTAAAGAGGTAAAAATTCATTTTTGTTTTCACTTACCTTATTGCCTATGGTCATTTCTATTTACAGATTTTACAGTTTCGTTTAAATTTAAACAGGAAATTGAGAAAAAAACTAAATGAACTGGAAATTATAGAAGCGAATTGGAAAATGCATTTGTGTTTATAAATAGAGTTTTCCGCATTTAGATTTTAATGTTCGAACGCAATAAACGTTCGTGATTGCTTTAGCGGCTCAACACTTAAAATTGATAGCTCGATGAAATCAAATAGAAATTAAATCTAAACTACTTCACAAGAAAAAGTATATATACATATATAACAATTGTTATATAAAATTTATTATATTAATTAAATTGATTTACTTTGGGCTTTAATTTGGTTTATAAGTAAACACAACTAAACACGCATAAATTGAAACATTGATTTGGATTTTGTTGAGAAGTTTTTGTAAAGGAAATGAAATATTATTTAATATTTTTGAGGGAGGGTTTTGTAACCCAATGATGACAAGCAAATCACTTTAAAAGGTTGTACTGAAATAATGGCATTTCCGGAGTTATGGTTGTTTTCTTAATTGATACTTGGGTCGAGTAGGGTTTTCGAAAAGTCGTAACTATTTTTAATGATTTGATTTTTCTAATACATCAAGAGAAGACACTGAACCAGATGAGAAAGAAAAATAACAAAAGAAATTTTACTAAAATTAATTTATCAATATTTTCAAAGAAAAATATGTTTCAAATATGAAAAGAAGAAAAATGTTATTATTATTTTGTATTAGAAATTTATATAAAATCGATTTCAAATAATGCAATTAATTGCGTAATGTAAGATGTAGTAGTTACATATTAATGCATATAATAGTTCTTGTTATTGACTAAAGAGAAAATATGAAAGTTAATAAAAAAAAATTACATTCGAAAATTGATTTTCTTATATTTTGTACTTTAATTACGTAAGATTGAATTAACGAAAGGTAAACAAAAATCAATAAATAATAGCGAATTATTATATAACATGTGTGGAATTATTATTAATAATTATTGACAGCAAGATGATGATGAGATGATGAACGGTTATATAAATGTGATGAATAAATAATTGAAACGAAGCGAAAGGTTTGCTAAATAGTCGAGTTCAAGTATTGAAAAGAAGATTATTTCATTAAAACTACATAAACATTGATAAGAAGTCATGATTTGTGATAAAACGAGGAGATTTAGTTACAAATTTATACGAAACTATATGGAATTGAAAATGTCGAAGATTTTGAAATTAAAAAAAATATGGTTGAAAAAATGGACAAAACTAATGCAAATTTTAAAATAAATAATCAGAAGACTTCAATGAAATAGAAGACCAATAATAAAATATTCTTCCATTCGAATATTTCAGTTATATTATTAAAAAAATTAAACAAATCAGGAAGGAAGTGAGTGTTTTGAATAGTTGGATAGTAAAACTACGATAGGTATGGATTTGAAAACGAATTAGATAACCCTTGCATGGATGAATTTCGATGATAAGATAACATCACTATCGATACTTGCACTAAGGGGGAGAAAATGCAAGCAGACTTTTGTTGGAGTATTTGAGAGAAAATGATGTTGAACGAGGCATGGCGTTCAAACAAATATATTTTACCATCTCGAAGGGCGGAGGGAAGGAAGGAAGAAGAATGGTAAACATGCGGTAGTTGTGTTTGCTTATCACCTTGGTGGCCAAATATATTTTATCAATAACCCCTCTAGAAGAAACATGCCCTGAGCTTATGTACGCCTCCTTCCAAGAGGTGTATCGATAAAACGACCCTAGCAAGTCAATTTCAAAAAGGGAATTATAAAAATAATTGTAATAGATTCGCTAATAGTCAATTAATTCGGTTGCGTAACGAAGTCCTGCAGACTAATTTATACAATTATTTCGGAATCAATTTCCTATAGCGATTGGAAACCCATCGACGCTGTGATTACACGTTTAATCATCGTGATTTTGCACCAATTTAACTTTTTTTTTTTTTTAATTTTCCATCCACTAACGTGTATCAAATTTCGCTTACATTTCTGTAAATAATTCAATTTATAGTCAGCTCACGTACTTGTTTCAATTCAATCCGCGTTTTTTAACTTTAGCGTGCAGTGTACTTTTGTTTTTCTTCAAACTCGAAACTGCAAGAGGACAAAATAGTTTGAACGTCTGTCCGGCGCCTTCAGACACACTGTTGGAATCTAAGTTACTAGCTAATGTAAATACTTAAGGTTTCATTAAATAAAATGCTTCAAGTTTGAAGTTTTAGGGCAAAGTTGCCAAATTTGAACCGTCTCCTTGATTGGACCACTGTTTTAACGTGTGTTAGTTGGACCACTTTCGTAACATGTGTATTGATTTTGAAAAGTAAGTTTATATAATTAGAATTAGTTTCTTTTTATATAATATAGAGCTAATATAGAAATATTTATTATCTCCATTTCCTTTTCGTTTAACTAATCTTAATTTAAAATAATTGTTTATATGGTCCAAATTCGGCAACTCGCCCCTATGATTTTTATCTTTGAATTGAGTCATCGGCTGAAATTGATGGAGGAATCAATCCGAAATGGAACTTATCTAATGGGGAAATCTGTTTGTGATTTCGTTGACGCGATGACAATTTAGTTGCCAGATTTTATTAGCGACACTTGCGAGGATAATCCAGAATCGGGAAATTGGATTCGATCTGGGGCTTAATGAAGCCCACGCACAAGGATTTTAATTGAATTATTTAGGAAATATAACGAAACGGAAAACGGGCTATTACCAAATAATTCCGGACGCGGCAGGGCATTAATTAAATTTTCAACTGATTGCGTATAACAATCGCACAGATTCGCGTTTGCGTTTTCAATTCCGGACAATTAAACACTTTTTTTTAACAAACATTTTTCATACCTCATTTTTATATAATAAAAACTAAATTTGTTATCCATAAAAATACAGTAATCTTAATAATTGTATAATATTTCTATACAAAAAATAATCAAGTTTTAATAATTGAAAATAAAGAAGTAATTAATGTTCTTTTCAGTTTTGTATAAAAAAAACCGTAAATTATAGATTACATATTAGCACTGAAACTAAATAATTCAAGCATTTTACCTAATGTACTTTATATAATGAAGATTACTTTTGCTGTTTGCACGCGAATTATAAAAGAGAAATACTGTACTTCAACATAATTTTTAATTATTTATCTGATTAACCTATTTTTCGAAATCCGCCCATTGTCCTTTCATGTAAATTGCTATAAAAATGTAACAATTTTTCTACCTTGCAAATGCATTTCGTTTGTTCGAACCAACAATAGGTAATAACTAATCAATAAAAAAAAAACCTAGTCGCATTTTTTTTTTATTATTAATTCGTTAAAATTTAATTTTACTGATTGTTTACATCATTAAATTTGTTTTTCTTTCATCCACAAAGCATTTTATTATAAATTGACAATTATGTTTATATTCAAAGGGATTAAAATCTATGGACATTTTTAGTCACGTCATTAGTTTAAAACAAACTGTGCAAACAATAATTAAATATCAACAGTATATTTTTTTTTGCGAATATTTTCAGCGAACAAAAACAAAATTTATAACAAATTTATTATCAATATTATATTTAATTTTTGATAAAAATAACGTTAATGTAATTGAAACTTTTCTGTATCAAAATGTTGATAAGAAACGATTATTTTTAATAATTTATATTTACATATAAACATTTTTATTAACAAATTAATATTTTTTAATTACAAAAATATTTAATAGATTTTTCGTGAATAAATGTGTTTTGATGATTTAATAATTGATAATCTTTTTGTAAAATTTTAAATGTTTTGTTTTATTAAATATTATAATGTATAAAATAAAATATTTAGTTCAGATATAGAAAAAAAATTGTCAATATTATAAACATGTTTGTTTCGGTATAATTGAAACAGAATTTTTGTCAAATTGATGTACACTTAATTATATAAATAAACAGCCGAAATCGAGTATTACCAAACACGAAACTGTGCTTTAATTGAACGGCGATGCAATTAATGGACGAAAAAAAAAACCACCGTTAACAATACGAGGTAATCGAATAACGAGCGCCGATGAAGAAGCACCGTTACCAGTGTTACGAAACATCTTTCGTCAATCCAAAAGATTTCGGTGAGTTCCGCGAGGTTCGCGGCTTGGGGCTGACGCGTTGCGTAATTGCGGGTGAATGTGGGCGATTGGCACTTTATGTGAGAGATAATTGAAGAAACCCCAATTGAAACGTCGAATTATCTCTTTTAACGCGACCAAATTGAATTAAGCCACAATTGGGCGTAAGCGAGTGGGCGACTAGCGATTAGGAAACGGAAGACAAACTTGATGAATTCGATGAAGAATAATAGAAAAAAATTGAATTGAAATTTGTTGCTGCTCACCTATTCTTCAGATGAGCGCACTCGGATGGTAGTAGCATCGTTGGTTGCTCTTCGCAAGGAAAACACAAGGAAAGAAACACACTGCACACACGAATTGGATAGTCCAGGTTTGGTTGTAGTTGATGTTCCAGGTAGTTGGGAGTCTGTCCAGAGCACTTCGGAGGTTGAGGATGCTACTAGGTATGATGCCCACGACGGCTGGTGCACTGATGACGCTGGTTCCGCGCACTACGACCGCCGATGCACGGGATGTGTGTGGACGCGCGTGAGTACTAGCACCTATCGGTTCTTAAGCTGAGCGCATTTGGTGAGCGCTTCGAACTAACTGGAACCAACGTAGTCCTGTTAGTATGACGCCGATAGCTCGGCTAACATCGGCGACCGACTTTCTCGGCTTGCTCGAATCTCTTGAAACGCAGTGGCCATGAAGCTACCTGGTATATATACCTGTCTTCTAAATTCATGGAACAATAAACCAAACGAACGAAGAGAGGAAAAAAAGTCAGGCAGAAAGACGAAGACGAAGAAAAGAGGAGAAAGATGCCATGCTCTTGTGTTGTTGTTGTTGTGCCTGCAAAGAAAAGTAAGAATCACTTTCTGGTCGTGTAGGCCTCTTCCATCCAGTTCTGGTTTTACGCCCTCAGAAGAGACGCACAAAACCGCAGGGACCTACCAAGCCTTCGAATGCACACGTACACTCTGTTCTCGATTCATGGAGACCATATAAACTTTAAACCTACGTGTCACCATTGCACTAATGAAAATCACAGCTAAATAAACGACTCCGAACTTAGATTTTCTAGAATTACAATCCTATTTTACAACACCGAAAGTCGAAAAAGTCACACCTTCCATAATAAAAACAACAACACCTGTATTGACACATAATTATATACAACTATGTGCGCTTAATTAATAATAATTGTTGATAAACAAGCTACGATTGTTGTAATAGTTTATATAAGTGTATTTTTATAAAAAAATATTTATTGAAAATCTACATATTATATTATAATGTATAAAATAAAATATTTAGTTCAGATATAGAAAAAAATTGTCAATATTATAAACATGTTTGTTTCGGTATAATTGAAACAGAAGTTTTGTCAAAATATTTATTGAAAATCTACATTTTTTTATAAAAATGAATGAAAAATACAAAATAATATTTTTTTATTAGAATATATAAACAAATAATAAATTATTACATAAAAAAATGATTTACATCAATATCTTTCTATCTTTTATTTTTGTTTTTTTATAACAATAAATGTTATTAATATTATTTCAAACATTGTAAGCTGTGGGCCCCAAATATTATGATCCGAGGGTCCCCAAAGTTAACGATCCGTCTCTGTGCTTATTGATGATTCATCTCTTATGAAATTTAAGCAACGTCTAGCGTTGATAGTATTTGGATCGGTTCCAATTTTGGAATATAGTAGAATAAAACTTAATATGAGATATATCCATAAACTAGTGAATCAATTATAATAAAAAAAAAACTTTTTATTAATAACATTTTGTAATTGCAAGTATCATCAACTATATTATTATTTACTATAAAGAAAATTCAAGATAATTTGATTATTTTTCTTGCTAAAGACAAATTATATTAAAATTGACTTTAATAGGCTTAATATAAACCAAGTACATAAACAAGTTCACGTTAAAACAACTCGATTCAATAAAGAGTTCAATGAATTTAATTGAGAAAATAAACAACATTTTTCAATTAAATTTACTTGTCCTTCCATTAAATACAATTACAAACTTATCATTTTAATAGTTATGTTTTATTAAATATACTTTTAGAAATATATTAGAGAAATAAAAATACTCAAATGTACGAAATACGAGTTATTTAAAAACAATTTTAAAATGAATGAATCTTATTTATAGATGAGACTTGAAGGTAATTCGTTTTTACACGACGCCACGAAACAAGTGTGTTTATTTACGTATAAGAGATGTAGACAACTTCGCAATAACAAAAATTAAAGAGGTAAACAATGTATATGTTGTCACTACACTTAATTCAAATTTATCATATTTTTTTTTTGTTATATTTAATAAAAGTACAGTAAATGTATGTGTAAACATCTGTAAAATTGAAGATTATGTAAGATATTCGGATGATGCTCTGATGTTGTTAAATTTGAAATTTTGAATCAAGTACACTTTTTTTTTAAAAATTTAGTTCAGATTTTTAAGATTACATAATTTCAATAATAATAATAAGTTTAACGATTTCAGTTAGGGGTCGGCAACCTGCGGCTCTCTTGATGATACATTGCGGCTCCCAAAATGAAGTCGCTATGATATGTATGCTTAATTTTTCAATTGTGCGCGCGTTTCTTATTAAAGTATATGCGAGATTTGCACGTGCGACTTCGCTTATCGGGCGTAGTGTGGGCGCACCTTAATGCTAATAATATAAAGTACTTTATAATTTAAGTATAATTACGTAAGACAAAAGTGAGTAATGTACTGAAGGATGACCCATTTATATAATTTCAAGTAAGATTAGCTCAAAAATTTATGCAACTTTTCTAATTTTGAGCTTTTTTAATATTTTTTTTTTAAACTATTTTACTACACGACACAACAGCAATTTCACCTTATGTCAAAGGTGACAGCTGTCAATATGTGTGTTCGATCAGTATATTTCAATGTTGTGAGAAGAATTATAAATTGTACGTTTACATATATGAGTCAGTTTTTTTGGAACATTCATATTTTCATTGATGTTTTTATTCGTTAAAGTTGTGCACATCCGTAGAAATTTTAATTGGATTTTTTTAATTATAAGTTTTGTTTCGTGCAGAGAAATAATAGCACAGAATTAGTTGGAGTGAACTTTAATTCATATAATTCAGTCATGTGTTTTAAATTTCATGAAATAAAAATTTTATATTTCGGCAATACCAATGCTTTAATGCCGATATTATATAAAATATATTTGTAACTGATTAGAAATCCCAACAACTATAATCCCGACAGTATAAAAATCCCGACAACCATAATTCCGACAGCAAGAAAATCCCGACCGTACCTTTTATTATAAATGTAAAATACAATTATCCAATATTTCTACGGAAAAGCTGTAGAAATAAATTATACAATTTCTTACGAGACGCCACTGCTTCCTATTGATTTGTGTAGTGAAATGTATTATAATATAATATTAAACCTGTTTTGACAAAGCAGAACGTTAGAAAATAGCGTTTACATAAAATCAGCGGTTGTTGCTCCTCGCAATACTCAGTTGCGCGTTAAATAAATTTGTTATTGTTAGTTCGAAAATTACGTCTGAATATGTTATGTATATAAAAGTATAAAGCTTTGAGTGCGATTCGAAACGGCGGGAGATTTAATCCACGCTGAAGTGTTGTTAAGCTGCCTTGCTTATCGGAGCAAACACAATAGCAAATTAATTTCAACAATAACAACATCGAACACAAACATGTAACAAGCGGATACATCAATGTACAACGAGCGGAATTATATGAAATTATTACGTGATTAATGAATTACATAATTATATAAATTACTTAAATATATACACATTTATTAATGAATAGCCGCACATGCTTAGGTGTGTTTAGCTTCCCATTTAATTTCCTTCCAAATGCGTGCATTCTCGTTACTTCCTTAACCTTGGAATTACTACTTTTTTTTTCTTTATTTACAATGTGGATGTATTTGAAGATTTTTACATTTTCTCATGGATTCAACCAGTTTTTGTATAAACAAATTTGCATACGTAAAATATTTTGAGCTAGTTTCAGATTTCAAGTGTTTTGTTCAAGAATTTATCTCTCTCACGCCACTTACACCTTCCAGATCAGTATACAATCCTAGTGTCAAGTGGTCTAATATTGTGTTCTGGTTTATCTAAATTTCAAATTTTCCTCACCTAGTAAAATGATTATCCAAACTCCATTTACATGGTGAAAATATATAAGAAAAAAATAACATATTTCTGCCATTTATTTCATTCTATAAAAAAATCACTTCCAAATATTGATATCATCTTAGATTGGATAATTTTGCAAAGGTAATTGTAATTAAAACGTTGAAATTTAAAAAAATGTGAAAATATCAACAAAAAAAAATAAGTTTAATTAAGTCGATTTTTCTTTGTAAAAAGATCCGTAAAATAGGGCAAAATTAAAAATAGGCATGATTTACTCAACAAGATCATTAATTCTAATGTTAATAGTGAAAATTCCAAGATTTTTAAACAAAATTGATTTAAATCAGTGAATTTCAATAAATAAAAAATATAAATATCTTATTTGCAATTCTCAAATTTTAAGTTAATTTTTCTATGTAAAAAGGTGCGTCTTATGGTTAGAAAAAATGGATAAAATTAAAAATAAACATAATAAATAAAAATATAAATAAATATCTTATTTGCAATTCGACTTTTAAGTAAAGCTATTGAACGGAACTATAAAAGTTCCTGCCGTTAAGAATGTGATGTATAGACCGTAACAAACGGTAACCTTAAGGTGCTGGGTCTACTGAATAAGTGAATGGATGGGGTAAGGATATCCATGTATCCATGCTTCAATAATTTTTGTCGGTTCTGCCTGGAAACCTACGATATAGTTAATTGAATTCCCAAAAAGAAAAAACAAGCTAAAAAACATCATTATTTTGGTATAACAGTTTTCTATGCAACATTGATCTTCATTAATTTATTTTGTAGATATTTAAATAATAATTAAATTATTGCTTTCATATAATCATTTTTTCGAATTAATTAATTTTAATCAACTTTCACACTCTTGAAATGGAAGTTACAAGAGGCTTAAATTAATTGTATTTTTCACTATAATTTGATATGTATACATTTTATTAGAGAAAATATTTTGGTCAATATTTCATCTACTTTTTTCGTTTTGGCAATGACTTCAATTAATTCAATGAAAAGATGAACACATTTGTTTTATATACATTTGCAAATGCGGAAATAACTCGCATAGTGCTTCTTCGATCAGTCCAGATTCACTATAGTCCGGTTTGAAAATATTAAAACAAACTAAATATTATTTAAGAAAATATAAAAATATTTTTTTACATAAATCATCGTTTTTATTTTTAATTTATAAATGTGAACGGATTATTTTTGTATATATTTATTTCCTCGATTAGTCCGATTTTGAACCGTACTGTGCGAGGTATTGATATATTAATAATTTTTGTTATGTCATTGTTGATATATCAGTACCAAATACCAGAAAAAATTCTTAGTAATTTTTGTTGTCAGGATAAATAGAATAAATATAGATCAAAAAAATCTTAAAATTACTAACATTT